CAAAGAATCCATATAACATAACCGTAACAAACAATCTATATAACATAACCGTAACAAACAATCCATATACATAACCATAAGAAACAATCCATATAACATAACCGTAACAAAGAATCCATATACATAACCATATGAAACAATCCATATAACATAACCGTAACAAACAATCCATATAACATAACCGTAACAAACAATCCATATACGTAGCCATATGAAACAATCCATATAACATAACCGTAACAAAGAATCCATATAACATAACCATAACAAACAATCCATATACATAACCATAAGAAACAATCCATATAACATAACTGTAACAAACAATCCATATACGTAACCGTAACAAACAAATCATAGCTACGAATAACCAGGTTTGCTTAAGCTTCAGCCGTTAATTTAAAAGATATCTATTTATCTGTCACTCCAACTGTATATGTTTGTTCTTTTCTATTTATGTGTTCCAAGGTGGCTTAGCGGTAAACTTGAGGGTTTATAACCCTAAAATTCGGGGTTCAACCCCTATGGTGAGCACGGCACAAATAGCTTATAGTGTAGCTTTGTTGTGAACAATAAACGAAAATTAATTTATTTATATTCTAGTTCCAACTATATAATAACTGGTGGTTCCATTCCATTGATAAATTAGAATTATACTTGCTTATTTTCCGAAATTGAAAAAAAATTGGTTGTGTCCAAATATCTACAAAACTAGTAATAAAAGCGTATCTTAGGTTGGACTATTCTGTCTAAACAAATGCAGCCAAAGAGGTCTGGCTCAGTTCAGTACATTTTCATGAAACAAAACGACGCAGGTCGTTATAGTCTGTAGTTTTAGATTACGGTTTGAAAACCGACATCCGTTCATATATGTATATTTCTCTATCACTTGGCTGGTGACGTTGCAGAGCTGTAGGTTCTATTAGTGTCTTCCATTTTCTTGGCTTTTTAAATTAAACTAAAACGGTGAGTGAAGAAAAGTGAAAATTTCTAATATAAATAAGTATGTCGAAGCCAGCGTAATTACAGTGGTAAATAAAGAAGAGAGACATAAATGTGAAGCGGGGAGAGGAGTAAATATATCTGAGAACAATAGCCAACTGTTAAGCCTAAAATCGTTGAAGGGAATTACGGGCTGCGTTTTTTCAAAATAATGAAACACGCCTCATCACAGCAAATGAGCACAATTGTCAGTGAAAAATTATTTCTGCACATCAGTGCTAGATATACGTTCATCCGGTAAACACAAATATATCAATTTTATTCATCCTCTACCAATAAGGAAGGGTGGTACTCGAGGCAGCTCGAGGTGGTTATTGTAAATCATTACAACAGTGAAAACTCCTTTGTTATAGGACAGCGTGATGAATTTAATGCTCATTCTCCTTGCTTTCTGTATGTAGGTTTGTTGTAGGATGGCTTAAATATATTTAACAACGACTCATACTTAACAACTCAATAACAAAGATCGTGAACGTTTAAAACCCCCAAAAAATATATACTCTCGTACCCCAGTTTTCTATCCGAAAGCACTTGAGTTATCGGGATTTTATGTAACATAATATTTTGCAATATTTTTGAGGTAAATTAACGAAAGATCCCGTGTTTTTATTTTGGACTGTCCTATGTAATATTTTCTAAGTTGTTTGTGCTGTGTCCACCGTGAAGAATAGAACCCCGGATTTTAGCGTTGTAAGTTCGTAAACTTACCGCTGTTCTAACTGGTACAGTCTTTCTTATTATAGATCGTGTGATAACTAAGTTTTCTAACTCTGACTGCATCGCCTTTAAATAAACTAATGTAACTCCACCCCATTTTAAAAATCTGTAATTTTTTACTTGTTTCAACTTATTTTGATGACTTAACACCGGTTTCGTTTCTCACCAGACCGAGATAATTAATTTAGTTTCTATTTAATTTATGACTCTTTAATTTGATTTGTTTTTTAAAACTTTTTTGATGACTAATCACCGGCTTCTCCTTTCACTAATACAACATTCAGTTCAGTTTGTTATGAATTTCGCGCAAGGCTACACGAGGGCTATCTGCGCTAGCAGCCCCTAACTGAGCAGTGAAAGATTAGAGTCATCATCACCCATCGACAACTCTTGAGCTACTCTTTTACCAACGAATAGTGGGATTAACCGTCACATTATAACGTCCCCACGGCTGAAAGGTTTGGTGGAACGGGATTGCGAGTCAATCTTTAATTTTTGACACGGTTTTTAAAATTATGTTTGAGGTCATTAATATCTGATAGTAACTAAACAGTTTGTTTGTAATTATACACAATGGGCTATCTGTGCTCTGCTCACCACGGGTATCGAAACCCGGATTCTAGCGTTGTAAGTCCGGAGACATGCCGCTGTGCCACTGGAGGGCTAACTAAACAGTTTGTTTGTAATTATACACAATGGGCTATCTGTGCTCTGCCCACCACGGGTATCGAAACCCGGATTCTAGCGTTGTAAGTCCGAAGACATATCGCTGTGCCACTGGGGGGGGGGGCTATCTAAACAGTAACAGAAACGTTTTATCAATAATTTATGAAATGCTTATTATGATTAATCTAAGTATATTACCCATTTTTCAATTACTAAAATTATTATTTTTATTTATGTTTGACGTCACGTAGGCAAAACATTAAGTTGATTTCAAGTAAAATCTCAGTTTCACTTGCTATTGAAGAAAAACCCCTTCATTATGTTTATAACAAAAATATATGTGTATTATATCCATATTTTTATGTTTATAACGAAAATATATGTGTATTATATTCATATTTTTATACTTATAACAAAAATGTGTATTGTATCCATATTTTTATGTTTATAACAAAAATATATGTGTATTATATCCATATTTTTATGTTTATAACAACAACATATGTATATTGTATCCATATTTTTATGTTTATAACAAAAATATATGTGTATTATATCCATATTTTTATGTTTATAACAACAACATATGTATATTGTATCCATATTTTTTATATTTATAACAAAAATATATGTGTATTATATCCATATTTTTTATGTTTATAACGAAAATATATATGTATTGTATCCATATTTTTTATGTTTATAACAAAAATGTGTATTATATCCATATTTTTATGTTTATAACAAAATATATATGTATTGTATCCATATTTTTTATGTTTATAACAAAAATGTGTATTATATCCATATTTTTTATGTTTATAACAAAAATATATATGTATTGTATCCATATTTTTTATGTTTATAACGAAAATATATATGTATTGTATCCATATTTTTATGTTTATAAC